ATGATGATTTGGAAGCCCTGAACCATCCGAGTTTGTCGATACTTAAATGCTGGGGGTTGATGTCTTTGTTATATTCTAATGTTTCTTGGTTTTGTGAAAACCTTTTTCCTTTCGGGTTACCTCAGATAGTGCGAGTTTTGAATTAGAGTAATCCATCTTGTACCTCGAACCCAACGCCGACGCTGACTGGGTGTAGTCACGCGAAGTGGTGATCGAACACGCGAGCCTGTGCTGAGAGACGTGAGGCACTGCAGGGCCGATCGTTGACTCGCACGAGAGCTGCAGCCACCATCACCGAACGCAAGAGCTCCCCAAGCCAGTGTGTGGCCGAAACCTTGACCTTGCAGCTGTTCTCCGAATAGATGTATGCACACGTCCCAGCGCTCCGCTTATGCAGCGCCAGTGTGTATGACATCTCTCGGGTGACAATGCATTAAACCTCGGACTGGCTATGTCCTTTTAGATGGTTATAATGGGATCGTCGAGCATCCCTATTGAGAGTCCGTTTCTGCGATAGAAGTTTGATTTCGAATGTGTAGTCGATACTTCCTAAACCGCATACGAGTTGTTACTCGTGTCGGCAAGGAATGAAGCTTTGTCAGCGGTATCGAGCAGGACCGTATGTTCTGAAGGTACCAGTTTTGAGGATGGTGTTTTTGATGTTAGTTAGCCATTTGTATGCGATTCTGCGGCGGGCCGTCTGATACGGACGCACGGATCACATTGGGATCGTGGGCAAGTTGTCAACGTGAACTGGGCACGAGACTGAACTTGGCACCGCGTAGAAATCCAAATAGTTATGCGTTTAGGACATGCTGTCGAGACCCTGAGAGACTGTTTGAGTCTGGTGTGCTCGATGGGTGTGTCGTGTGTAATTTCTTACCATAAGAAAGGACGCTTATAGCAATGGCTAATAGGCGACGATCTTGATGGTACCGTACGAGGTTTTGAGTATGGAAAGATGCGTTGTATGCCTCGAGTTCTGGGATGAGAGGAAGTATCAGCCACATTTGTTGGTCCTTTCGTGATTCTCGACCGAGTCGGCGTCTTAGCTTGACGGTTGACCCCATCACCGGAGCTTGCGAGAGTGCACGACCTGTTCAGTGCCTCGTGGAGAGGGGACAGGTGAGCGACTCTAGGCACGAGGCGATCTTTGACGAGCTGCATGTGGGCAGAACCTTACCTTTGATGAGGTACCGGTGACCTACTGGATTGACGAATCCAGAAGGGAGAGTCCGGAAGAGGTACTCGTCAAAGTCCCGCAGGGTAACCATGGATGGTACGGGGTGACTTGGTAGAGTGGGAAGATTCGGACGGAGTATCCGAGTTGAGTGGTTTGAGCTTCTCTCGTGTGTCAGTTGTCCTGTTAGGATGACTTTTCTTGGATTTCCGGGGACGGAAATCGTTTAGGGAGGGTAGACTGTAATGCCCCGTTTAATTGTGGATTATTTGGGATATATTATATTTTTATTGTTATTATTATTATTATTGTTATTTTTGTGATAATATTTATATTTATTTTTCTTGAATGCCATAATATTTATTAATTGTCAAATGGGATTAAATGCTAAATGTGTAAATGTCTAATTGATTTTTTGTGATTATTGAATTATTAATGTGTATTTAAAAATATAATAATATATATATATATATATATATATATA